CGTGTTCCACTCTGATTTTGATGGCTCGAGGACTCCCACTTTCGTAAGTCCCTCTATCACCTGTGAGATACCCTCGACAGCGTCTGGTTTGGCGGCATACTGCTTTATGCGAATCGGGCCTCCTGGCTTCATCTGTAAAGACACAGGAGGGAAAGAGGTGCACAACCCCACGTCCGTGGGACCTTGGGACCAAACTTCTGCAGGCACCTGTTTCAATATTTCATGCGTATCATCATGATCTGTCATGTGTCTACCATGATGTCTGGTCAATGTTTCGTGCTCCACTTCCCCTGTGTCTATCATATTTGCTTTTATCCTGTATGACTTATTTTCAATGCTGTACTGCACATGAGGGAGTTGGGTGTCAGACCAATCGTCAGCTTTTACCAGTCTCTTTACCATTGGACCTAAAGCTCTAGCCTCGTGACCAGGGTGTACAGCCAAGGTGATGTGTGGGACAGCAGAGGAAGACATGTAATACCACTCACACTGTTCAGGAAGCAGCCGTGTATGGGCCGCCACACCCTCAGGCCCAATATAAATGTAATCTGATTCTAATGTCCACCTATCACTTTCAATTTGTTTGAATTGTTCTCTGTACATTAAGTCTTGGTCTCTGTCATAGAATAATGTCAAGTGGGCAGGGTCCAGTGGGAGGTGGTAGGAGGCCAAAGAATTTATCCAGGGTTTCCACTTGAAGAAGACGGAATGCACACCATTATTGTCCGTGGACTTGTTTTCTGGGTCCAGTCTCACCCAGTATATGTCTGCATACTGGTCTGGCATCTCTTCTCTCAGAAGCCAGCAGGAGTCCATCGATACACCGGTCACACATCTGTAAATTTGTCCCCCTGGAAAAGTCACTTGTAGACCATCCGGTCCACATAGAATTGACGCATTGGTTTTAGTCAATAAGTCTCTTCCCAGCAGGTTGACAGGTGTTTTAGGAGCATTTACAAAAGAATGCCACAGTGTCTGTGTTCCAATTTGTGTCTTTAAACGTTTAGTGAGTGGCAGTACCTCAGGTGTCCCAGAAAATCCAACCAGGGTGATGTGCTCCTCAGAGAGCAGGACAGGGCGTATCTTTGTATTGATGGTAGAGTAGGTGGCGCCAGTGTCCACCAGGGCCATCAGGTTGTCGTCCTCCACCCTTATGGGGAGCATAGGCTCTGCTGGTACCTTGTCCCCTGGATTTCCTAGGCAGCCCTAGTAAGATTGTTCATGTTCATACTCGCCCCAGTAGTTCCCATGCTGGAAATATTGTCCATCTCTCGGGGCCAGGTTGTCATTCGGAGCCGTCCATGGGGAGGGAGGGCCTGCGCGCTCTGGTCTGGGTCCCATGCCTCTCTGGGGGCCCCTCCCACGCACCATCTCAGGCGCTCCATGGTAGTAGGAGGCCTCTCCTTCAAAGGGGCAGTCCCTCGCCCAGTGACCGTGCCTGTAACAGAGGTGACACACATCCCTGCCCCCTTTCCAGCTTCCGCCCCTTCTTCCTCCCCGGCCCCCACGCCCACCACCTCTGGCCCCTCCCCTTGTCCAGTCCTGTCGTGGTGGAGTGGGAAGTCCAGCAGGCATATTAGTCATCTGATTACTGGTTCCTTTTTTATTTTGTGTGGCTTTATTTCTCGCTTCACTAAGCTGTAACTTCAAAAGTTGACAAGTCATATCTTCAACACTCTTTCTTTCTTTAGTTTTATTTTCAACATATCGCTTAATGTGAAAGATTAAATTTGTTTTCCACTGTGCTGAATCCGGGTTAATATTATCTGGGTTGTCTTCAATCTTTGAGCGTATTGTTTCTGGTAAACCATTCAAAATAGCTGCTCTAAAAGGCATGACTTCACTGACCTTGTGAGGGTGTCTTCCTACTGTGTCCATCCACTTGGTCACACTCCTGTCATAAAATACAATTGGGTCCTCAGACTCCAGCCAAGTTAACTCACGAGGGGCAGAAGACAGCGGGGTTGGAAAGTTCTCCCTCAGTGCTTCATACCAGGCATTTGCATACTGGCCAAATCTGGAAGAATCACAAACATCAGCAGTACCAGCTTGTCTTTCAATAGCATCTCTCTCCCATGGTTTACTGCATGCTGCCATCACTGCCCGGACGTCACCCATCGCGACATCATGACCTGTAAACCATGTGTTCAGACTGGAAATCCAGTTTCCAGCTCCCTGACACAATGGAGGCATTTTGTCTTTTATAGTCTGCATGTCACTTACAGAAAAAGGATGGTACTCCCCAGCTGCGCCTCGTCCTGGTCTCAGAGGGAACATGGACTTTGTCTGAGACCTGGTTCTGCTTGCCACCGGTCTAGTTTCTCCAGGCTCCTGGTCTCCGTCATCACTACTGTCAGAAGAGAATTTAGCTCCTTTTTTAGCCTGTTTAGCTTTAAGTATTGGCTGGGCCATGGCACCGTCTCCCTTTTCATTTTCACTGTCCGTCCTAGTCATGGCTCTGCGTGCGGCTTTATTAATTAATTTTGCATTCTCCTGTCTAGCGGTCTCGTAATCATGGGTCCTACTTGGGGTTTCTTCTCCCTCAACTCTGTCTGTGGTGCATTCAGAGGTCGGTTTCCTAGCTCTAATATTTCTGAGAGAGTGCAGGAGCAGCTCCTGCACCTCTTGGATGGGTGGGGGTTGGTGAGGCTAGTCACAGCGGGCTTTCCTGTTTCTGGCAAGGCTTCTCAAAAAATCTTTACTTTTAATATATTCTCGCAGGGTTCTAGCTACTTAGACTCCTATTTTATTTAATTTTAACGTATTTTCGCAAGGCTCTCACTACTTTTTAGGCTTTTACTATTTTTACTTTTTGAATTAGCTCCTCCGTGGACAAAACTTCTCTCCCCTTAATTTGTGTAGTCCAATATGCAGATTTTTAATTAGTCAAAAGGTATCTGCTTACCTTCAAATCAGCGGCCGCTTTGAGGAGAGATGCAGAGTCCAAGGGAGAGGTTGAAAGTCATCAAAGGGATCACGTCGAGGGTCACCAATTATTGTATTAAAAAATGACGTGTTCAAAATCCCTTATAAAGATGACCATGATTCAGGAAGTTAAATTCAAAAAGGTTTATTTCCCTAATACAAAAAGAATCTAAAACAGCTGTTCGGACCAAAAGTAACTATCCCTTATTCTCTATATAAAATATAAAAGTATGATTTTGGTGGGCGCTCCACGCAAATCACACTCTTAAAAGGGATGTGTTAATTTTGTACACAATTCTTGTGTTACACCTACTTTAACACATGTTGTGTTAAAATATTTCAGAAATGTGTAAATATAAAATTTTTCAAATTACACATTTACGTGTTAAAATATCGACCAATCACATTGCAGAGCTTTGTCCAAATCCTTCACAGCAGCGGTGACTAGGCCTTTTTGACTTCACCAAGGAGCAATTTGGGCGCGAGTCTTCCGAAAAACAGGTATAACTTTCTAAATTTTTACATTAATGTTAGCAATTGTCTGCTTTGCTTTACTTTCTTAAGTATCATCGATTAAATGTTGTAAACGGCAACTGATAGCTAGTTAGTTGTCATAATTATTAGCCCAATCCCTAGCTAGCTGATGGCAAAACTACAGCCTCCGCTTTGTTGGTGTCACACAAAAATAATGTCCATGATGCCTGTCACTCGTATTTGTGATTTCACTTCAAACTGGAGCGATACAGTCTGAACACTTGACGTTAGGTTTGGTCCGCGTTCACATAAAACTTGCCGCAGGCACCTTCTATGGTGTGCTAGGCTATTGCTAGCTGCATAATTCTTCGAACGATCTTTAAATAAACGTGAGTACATCTGCTTAATCTGTCTGGGTGTGCTTAAATTGTGGTTGAATAAATGCGAGATGGAGATATTGATGCAGAAAGTAGTCATTCAACCTTGCATGATATATTTTTAACATTAGCTAACGGGGCATGTTGAAGCAGGCTGCTCATCCAGTCTTGGTCTGACTTGCGTACTTTTTACTTGGCCTTATCTTTTTGAGACCACTTCTGATTTGGTTGCGGTTTGCCCGGTTCTGTTGACAATAATCTTGAGGCGGGTGTTACACTGCATGCGCATTCCAAAGCCTCTCACGGTGGGCAGCGAGCGGTAAGAAGCGGTTACTGTTCCCGTTCCGTCTGAGGGGAACACGGCGAAAGTTAACTGATCTAGGAGCTAAAGTTGACTGAGTAGGTTTACGTTTGCTAATTAGTTCGAATGTGAGAAGTAAAATGAGACAGGGCTGCTCGAGCGCTTGGCGAGGAGTGGTTTAAAGCCATTATAGCCCTTCGCTCTTCTACTCCTCATCACGATATACTGTATATGGACGAGATTCCCCAGTGAAGTCCAATCTATGTACCTGCCATCTGCCCCACGTTTCCATGCCACTCCTCGTGCGTCGCGCAATTGTCCCAGTTTCAGGCACACTTCTCTCCCCCTCCGTCCCCTACCACCTCCAGCTTTGCTTATTATTAGATAAGCAACTCCGGGTTTAACTCCATGATGGCTGTAGTTATTTTCGGACAAAGCAACTGTATTTGTGAGATGAGAATTTGTGGATAATACTAACTGCCTACTGTATGAGAATGGAGTTGAATCAATGCATTTTAGCCTGATGTTACATTTGAGAAACACATTTATTTATTTTCCTTTATTCAAATGTATGATAAGGAAATGTGTATTACTTAGAGCTCTATAAAATTGAAGAGGTATGATAAACTCTTTGTTTTAATAACTCAAAGTATTTATGTTACATTTTCAGATGGAGGGGACTGGGAGCGTCACGTCTCTCGTGACGGTGTTCCTAGATGGAAGTGAGATTTCTAAAAAGATTCACCAACTGAACACCGTTGGCGAAATTCTTACTGCCAGCAAGCATTTATTGAACTGTGATGCAGAATGTGATCGGCTTTTAAAGTTTCATACAGATTTTAATGAATATATTGACACTGAAATTGATAGCAGTGTTCAAAACCTGGACAAGTATCACATTCTATTCAAGTCAATAACACAAAATGACTCAAACAAGCAGTTGGCCAAACAGGTATGTTATGTTTAGTGATAGTCGTTTTTTGTAGAGAGCTTTACTTTTTTCAATTATATTAGCCTATATTCTGTCATAGGATCAACCCAGAACTACAAATGCAGCTTGCTCACGTAGTCAGAGAGAGGTATATTAACCCATGTGGTGCAGTCATTTGAGCGCCTTATTGCAAACATATTGAGTTTGTCCTCTGTTTTGTTGCAGACTGAACATCAAAATGATGGACCACGTTTGGATGCAAGTGGTTTGACACAACTGCTTGAGAGAAAGGCCCCAAAACTTCTGCAAGAATACAAGACATCTGGGACCCTTGCCTTGGCTTCCAGACAACTTCTTGTGAAGTTATGCGTCAGTCATTTAGTGGAGCTAAAAGGATTGTAAGTTGTGATATATATATATATTATACATACACATATATATATATATATATTATACATACACATATATATATATATATATTATACATACACATATATATATATATATATATATATATATCACAACTTACAATCCTTACAATCCTTATACATACACATACAGTGCCTCTCAAAAGTACTAATACACCTTGAGCTTTTGCACATTTAGTCATGTTTACAACCCTAAACGTAAAGATTTTATTTTGAATTTTTTACTGAAAGTTCACACACAAGTAACAGACAACTGTGAAGTGAAAGCAAAATGATACACGATTCTGTTATTTTACAAAAAATAGAAAAGTGAAAAGTGGGGCGTGCGTAAGTATTCATACAGCATTTTCTGAGTGCATTAAATTACCTTTATAACATTCCTAATGACTGCAGAATGTTCCAAAATAACAGAATCATGTATCATTTTGCTTTCACTTCACAGTTGTGTGTGAACTTGTGAACTTCCAGTAGAACATTCAAAATCAAATCTTTATGTTTATGGTTGTAAACATGACAAACTGTGCAAGAGTTCAAGGTGTATTGGTACTTTCGCAAGGCACTGTGTGCGTGTGTGTATGTATGTGTGTGTGTGTATATATATATATATATATATAAATATAAATAATCGCAATATTCTTATGAATTGACGGATATTTAATTATTTGTCAACACTTTTCAGCTATCCCTCAAAAGCTGACAAGGTCCTTTTGGCTAGAAACATAATAACAGTCTTCCCAGCACTTAAAATACAAATGGTTGAAGAGAATGAAGGTTTTGTAAGTATGAAATGTAACATTTTGGATTTATTTTGTTTTTGTGCAGACATTTGAGTGTTAGTAATACTCTGTTTTTTTGTCTAGGAGCATTTTTATGACCCGGTGTCCCACTCTGGGTTCATTGAATTTAAGCTCCGAAATCTTCGCAGGAAGATTGATGATGACAAACGGCGCTATTGCAAACGAGGGAGGTCTAGTCATTCGCCTAGTGTTGTAACACTGGACATCGCTGAAATAGAGGATGAGTCCATCATGGAGTGGACCAGCGCAATCAAAAGGATGAAACCAAGTCCTGAGAACATGGCAACTATCAAAATGGGCATGGAGAAAACATTCACCAACCGAAGGCTCTGGATTGCAAGCCAGGCACCGACCCTTCAGGAGATATTTCAGCACTACCCACGCTTCGTGGACCTTCCTTGCTTGGTAAATACTGCAATGCCAGTTACTCAACACCGTTCAGTACATTAACATCCATCCATCCATCCATTTTCTCCCACTTGTCCATTGCTGGGTCGTGGGGGCAGCTGTTGGAGCTGCCCAAATCACATTGCACCAGTCCTTACAGCATACCGTTTACAACATAAGTTGTCTTTGTGACGTTACAAGGATTTACTGCTTAGCACTTTTGTCCTCTTTTGTCGCAGTTGGATGTTGAGTTTGGAAAGCTTTTACCTGGGAAGCAAGACCTTTTCCTTCGCAAGTGGGAAGCGCACTGTGTTCCGAAATTACTGAAAGTGGCTACACTGGAAAATTATGACAACATTCTACAAGACACTGAAGAAAATGGTGGTGAGAAGTTTTTGTGCATTCTTGGGGTGATTCACTGTGGTCGAACTAATATTACAGGTGGGAACTACTCACAACTTAACGTATTTTAGAATGTTGTCTCTTTGTGTTTTGTTCAGAGGCACGTGCCTTCCGCGCCCTGCAGATACTTACTCATCTTCTTCCTCCAATTGCGTTGGGGAGAGGCAAAGGATGGTCCAAGTGCAGCGTGAAATCTGCTCTTTCTTATATCTTGGACATCAAGCCGGTAAAGTTGTAAATTAATTTATTGCTCTTTGTTTCTGTCATACACTTATTAAGGCTCATTCATACTTCATTAGACAAAATAACTTTGTTTTTACACCGAGAGTTGTAAGAACAAAATCATGTATTTTTTGCCTTGTAACCATGGAAACGTCTTTAGTTACAAGACGTTTCCATGGTTACAAGTACAAAATTACTTTATTTTGTTCTTACAGCTCTCGGTGTAAGAAAAAAAAAAAGTTATTTCGTCTTATGAAGTATGAATGAGCCTTTAGGTTAATCTTGCCATTTTTCACCCACACAGAGCTCACTGCTTTCTGTGTTAATGCTTCAACTTAGCCAACCCCAGTTCACTATTTTAATGTTGTTTTCCAGACGGGAACCAGCCTCTCAAGTCTGATGGAGGGATCTCTTGACTCAACAGCCCAGCAGCCCAAGCTTGTATGTCTTGGTCAACCAAGCGACACAGCACAATACATCATCGTGGCCAAAAATGACAAAGTTGTGATCCCTCTTGAAGATGAAGGCTTAACATGCGCCATTGACAAGCTCTTCAAAATGTTCTGGGTATGCAACCTGACATATCCTGCACAGGTGCAATCGGTTTATCAGTTTTTCGAGTACATCTATGACATCCACAAGCCAAATGCGACGCGATCTAAAGTTGCAGAACTTGTTGCAAAACTGCAAGCAGTGCTGTAATTTAAACAAACATGTATACTTGTCCTAAGTGCAAGAAATCTGTTTCCAAACATGTGAGGCTACTTATCAGACATCTCAGACAAGTCCACGCTCTAAGTGATGCACAAGATTTTACGATTGTATGCAGCCAGAACCACTGTCAACGTACTTATCATAACTTCAATTCATACAGAAAACACCTCAATAAAGAACACAATCAGATTGTACGTCCAGAATTAACTGAACAATATGTCAGCCACAACCTCAGTAATGTGTCACCTGATGCTTCTATTCCATCTGGCTCTAATACTGTGGACACTACAGATACTATTATGGGCTCTGAATTGGACACTTTGGATAGCTTTTCAGATTTCAGTGACTGTGCAGCCTCTTTTGTTGCCCAAATGTACTCTGCATCCAATTCCACACTAACTGATGTACAAAAGAGCATTGCATGTACCAAGGAGTTACTGGACAAAACTTTAGATTCACTCAAGGAGAGGACAACATCGGTTTTTAACAGCTATTCAATATCAACTCAAGAGGCAGCAATTGGATCTTTAATGCAAGATTTTGAACGTGCACGCAATATGTTTTTTGATGTAGACACTCCCTTCAAAATGTGGAAATACTTTTCTGAAAAACATTCTCTTATCAAACCAAAAGAAATATTTTTGGGCCACAGAGGAGAAACTGCTAGAAGACAGGGGAAAGTGGCTCAGGTTTTGGCTGCTGACACATGTCAGTATGTGTCAATTATTGAAACAATATGTTTTTTATTTGGAAATGAAAAGATGCAGAAACTCTATAAACAATCAACTAAAAGCGTGGATGGAAAAATGCGGGATTATACCGACGGTCTACAGTTTGCTCATCACCCCTTGTTTACTGACTTTCCTAATGCCCTGCAAATCCAGTTATACTTCGATGATTTGGAAACAACCAATCCTTTGGGATCAAAAACAAAAATTCACAAAATGGGTGCCGTTTATTTTTGTTTGAGAAACCTTTCACCTGAACTTAACTCTTCTTTGTCGAACATTCACCTAACTCTCCTCTTCAATTCAGTAGATAGAGAAGTATATGGATTCAGCAAAATATTAGAGCCTTTGTTAGAGGACATAAAACTTTTGGAAAAGGAAGGAATTAGGGTGGAAATTGATGGTCAAAACCATCTGCTCAATGGAACCATTTGCCTGCTGACTGCTGATAATCTTGCTTGCCATTCACTTGGAGGATTTTTGGAAAGTTTCTCTGCTAACAAGTTTTGCCACTTCTGTTTAACTGATAAGCAAACAGCCCAATACATATTTGATGATGATCGCCAAGAGCTTCGTAATATGAAAAACTATAATGAACATGTCAGCCTGAAGAATCCATCTGTAACTGGTGTAAAAGAGGACTCCTGTCTGAATTATTTAAACTACTTTCATGTCACTGAAAATGTTTGTCCTGACATTATGCATGATATATTGGAGGGGGTCGGTCCACTGGAAGTGAAACTAATGTTACGGCATTTTATATATGAGAAAAAACTATTCACTTTAGAACAGCTGAATGACAGAATCTTAAGCTTTGATTATGGCTATTCAAATGTAAAAAACAAACCAAGTGTCATTATTAATTTAAGGACATCCGAAAATCCCATAAAACAAACTGCGAGTCAAATGTGGTGCCTTTTACTTTTTTTGCCATTTCTCATAGGTGACTTTGTAAGTGATGACAACCAGCATTGGGAATTGTTTCTTCTTCTTAGAGAAATCTGTAGTATTATTTTTGCACCTGTTGTCAGCCCCGGACTTTCTATATTTTTGAAACAGTTGGTTATTGATCACCACAGCATATTCAAACGTCTTTATCCTAACAGACCGCTTATACCAAAACACCATTTTATGACTCATTATTGGCGCATGATTATTAAATTTGGTCCACTTGTGAAGTTCTGGTGCATGCGATTTGAAAGTAAGCATGGTCCTCTTAAAAAACATGCTCAAATTGTATGTAATTTTAAAAACATATCCAAAACATTGGCTTTTAAAACGCAGCTTCAAAGTATGTTTAATTGGAAATTTAGTGACCCAATGACTAAAACGATGAAAGTTCATAACACCTCAGCCGTAATAGTTGCATCTTTGGAAAAAAATGATTTGTTCATTCAGTGTTTACAAGCTCTTGACTTTGATGTCAGTTCATGTAGTACAATTCATATTGCTCATTCAGTCAGCATGTTTGGTCAGACTTTTAGAATTGGTTGTGTACTTGTTTTAAACTTTGACCAAAGAAGAGAGCCCATCTTTGGGGAAGTTGTACATATGCTTCCCAAATGTGAAAGTCAGGAAGTGTTTGCTTTTATTAGAATTGTAACTGTTCAATACTTTGATAGTCATTTGTGTTCTTATGTTGTGGAACGAACTGATGGATATGAACTGATAAATTTTAATGAGTTAGGAGACATCAGACCACTTGACTTTTTGACATTTTCAACTGAAAGCAAACTGTACCTAAATCCACGTTACAAAATTATTGATAAATTAGAATAAACATGTTTTGTTTTTGTTAATGCCAGAAAGGGTCCTGCAGATTTATGATGGTGTTGCCTGATGTTCTCTGCATGATTTTGATCTGACTGCAATGTTAAGTATTGTTTATACAGTGTTTCTGTCAACGATGTTAATCATCTATTTAAACAGTTTGAAACTGTTATTTAAAATGTGTCAATAAATGTTAATTCCATTAAGTCGTTGGAATCATTTGTAGCATTGTTGGGAAGGGTTAATTTTAGGTTTAAAAATTAAATAACACATTATTTAACACAAAATGTGTTAAAAAAAATGCACATCCCCGTGTCTAGTTAAGGACTACACAACATGTGTTGTTTTTAACACAGTCAGTGTGTTGAAATTTCTAACACAAAAAATGTGTTAAATATCTCAACACACTGACTGTGTTAAAAACAACACATGTTATGCAGTCCTTAACTAGACACAGGGATGTGCATTTTTTTAACACGTTTTGTGTTGTTTTCAACACATCTGTTTTAAGAGTGCACACTCCTGTCCCTGGTCCGGTCTAGACTAACACAAGCATGAGGTTATTATAAGTAAATGTGCATGAAGAAGGGGGCGTGTCGTATCAGGCAGATGTCTGGTCCAAGGTCCGGCCTTTTCCTCCGTCTCGCCAAACCTAAACAGAAATCATTCACGCACTACCCCTCCCTAATTCTATCGATTTATTAGTTCCTTTGAGATAAGGCAGAGGGATCTCAAGGCTTCTCCTCCAGATTCTGGACTCCATCTCCTTCTTTCACAACTTGAAAGGATTAGCAGAATCCCCCCAGATTAACTATCATTAACTCACCCATGCACTTTGGACAAAATGGGACAAGGGGAGTTGGGCAATACAAGGTCTTTCTTTTTGCTTGGAGACAGACAGAGTTCAATTTCAGGTCAATCTAATTCACATCGCCTTTTAGCCTATATTTAATACAACAATAGACGTGCAAATTAATTCACTGTGTCACATAAGGCACATTATATAGTATTTATAAAAAAATGTTTTGCGAGCTTGTTTTTCTTTTTTGTATCATACCTGTAGATATGTTGAGAATGCACCTGTTAAACTTAATAAATCCTGAATACAGACTTAAAGGAGATATTAGTATGCAAATGATGTTTTCAGCCTTGTTAAGACATTGTTCCCTCAAACACAGACTTGTAGTTTTTATTTTGGATTTCAGGAATTTCTGTCACACACCTTTCTGTCTAAAAGATCCTGTCTCAGTCTTGTAGTAGTATGATGTCAGCAGCCCTGTTTCCACCAGTCCTCTTTGGCCTTGACTCGACTGAAACCAGGCCAAGCGCTCTTCCTGGTCATGTTTCGATTTCGCTTTAGTATCTGGTATCGTATCCTAGCAACCAGCCCACAACTCAACCAGTATCCGGGAGAATTTCTTGTTGATCATGGCTTCAAGCAGCACTCCGGCCAACCACTGTCAGTCAGAACGCTCCCATTTCTGTTTAGCATTTTCTCTGATGTTTCTGGTGTTGAAATCCCCAGATAAGAAGGAATGAAGAAGTAATGCAAAATAGAAACAGCAGTGTGACTAACAAGATCTACCAAGGAAAAAGAAAAACAAGAAAATCTCAGATCAGTAACATCTGACCCCTGCCAAAGAGAAAATCACAAAATGGACTGGGACAATGCCAAACTAGTAGGAACAGAAATGACATACATACAAAATATGGATATATATGAGAGACCACAGACCATGAACGTAGTGTCGTAGAATTACATACCCCAATGAAGGAGAAAGCTCAAAGGTCTTTGTCTTAATCAGGAGCGTAAGTTTATTGTACACACGTGCGGAGAGCTCACATACACAAAGCAGCGTCCATAAGCTCTGACGCGGCCAGACCAGGTTCCTGTTTATATAGACAACACATGAAAGACAGTCACGCCCACAAAAGATGGGAGGGGGTCACCAGTACAGGAGGCGCATCCAGAGGCGAGGCGCCTAGTCCGGGGGGAGGCAATCAGACCGTGCCATAGAGATGCAAACAGAGAGACAATGGACATGCAGGATGTAGAGATGCAGACATACAGATGCAAGATGCAAAAGGGACAAGGGTGAGACAGTCATTGTCTGTAGGTGCGGGGGGAAGCCCGGCTCCTTCCTGCAGGTTTAATTGAATAGAGCAGCAGGGGGGGTGAGTT